AGGATTTTTTGCTGCTTTTGCAGAATAACATGGCTACCCCTCTGGAAACAAGAAGAACATCATACAACATCATAGAACATAATTTTCAAAATTGGAGTGAATACAGCAGCAGAGCAGCTCCCAGAATAATGGGCAGCCAGCCTCCTTGTACTGGCAGGTTGCCCAGTTAATGCCGCATCCCTGTTACGGGACTCTTCCCAGTGAATTGGAGAAGGCCAGGTCATCCTCACTCACAGCAGTGGGGCAACTACATATGCAGCACCCAGAAAGAGAACAAATTTGTGCTTGCAGATTTTTATGTACAGATTTATATCTACAAATATGCAAATAATGCGAATCGAAATAAAATTGATATCACTGTCTTGGGAAAGACTGGGACCAGGTGGCCTGAGTGCCTACTCTGTCTGCTGCCTAGGTGATAAGTGTTAATGGGCAACCTTGCCAGTTCCCCTTCTGATGGTTCCTTAGGTTTAAACTGGACTTGGACCAGGCAGCACTTCAAATACAGAAATGATGGCATGTTTCCAGGGCTCAACTGTCTACTTTGCTACTGAGTTTAGGAACAGGTGGCGCTGTGGTCTAAACCACTGAGCCTCTTGGGCTTGCCGATCGGAAGGTCGGCAGTTTGAATCCCTGCAACGGAGTGAGCTCCTGTTTCTTTCTCCCAGCTCCTGCCAACCTAGCAGTTTGAAAGCACACCAGTGCAAGTAGATAAATAGGTACCGCTGTGGCAGGAAGGTAAAAGGCGTTTCTATACGCTCTGGTTTCCGTCATGGTGTTCCATTGCACCAGAAGCGGTCTAGTCATGCTGGCCACATGACCCGGAAAGCTGTCTGTGGACAAACGCTGGCTCCCGTGGCCTGAAAGCAAGATGAGCACTGCAACCTCATAGTTGCCTTTGACAGGACTTAATGGTCCAGGGGTCCTTTACCTTTACCTTTTACTGCTCTAAAACTTTATTTGATGAACCTGAGCATTCAGGCACAGAAATTCTCACTGCTAACCAGGGTCTTTCTGTTTACCGTTAAAGGCAAAATCTTTCAACGTGTGTGATGATTGTCCTAGTGATGCAGCTGCAGATTTACACTCAACCATGTTCTATGGAACACAATAATTTCTTAGTAACATTTCCAGTGTTCACGGTCTTTTTCAGCAATTATACAGTTGCCAACAGCCTTGTGAGGTAGACTTATTGACGTTCCTCCCATGTTAGAGGAGAAAGAAAAAGAGTACATTCACATCTCTGAATAGAGATTCGAACCCAGGTATCAACACAGGGAGCAATTGTTTCTCTTCTCAGTCCCCCAAATAATTTTACATGATTACACCCTCACATCTGGTTGGGATATTCTGCTCCCCAGCAACTTGGAATATTTTTGTTCCCAGTTGAGAGATATTAAGTGCAAATTTATGGCACTTAGTGGAATATGGGGGGGGTGTTTAAGTTATCTTCACAGCTATTTTCAAACGTTGTGTCCAATTCTTCTTGTAAGAGTTAATAACCAAAGTGTAGTTTTTTAGTAGGCTTTCATTTTTGTATGTTCTAGTGAAATCATTTTTGTTTTTTAAAATCATTTTTCCTTAACTGATACCACTGCAAGGTTTGTACAATAATACTTAAAATGGCCCTCCTTGGGAATTTTTTTGAGTTCCCAAATGCATACCTTTTGAAGCTTGTTACATTTTTAGGTTTGAAGCGTAGCAGTCACTGGGCTGGCATGTAGCAGAATCATGGCTGAGTTTTTATAGCAGTGATTATTAAATTAGTTTTCTTTAATAGAAGCCATACGATTTAAAGTGGAGAAGTCTGTTCTGTGTGGCCTCTTTAGCATATCCCAAAACAATATTCAAAAGCTGCTGACATTTTAATCATTCATCTTGGCTTAAGCAAATTTTGGAGTTTAATGCAAGGAGATAGGCTTAACATTATGCTCATACTTTATTCTGCAACTGTTTTGCTTCTTTGACATTAACCTTTAATAAAGCTAAATTAAATATACATATCCTAATGAATAATTATGAGTGCCAACATTTTCATTTACGATATAATGTTTTCCAGGGATTTGGGAATTTATTGACTAAAGGTTTAGTCATTATTCATTTTATAATGTAGATGTTGGTGGGGTGGGTGAGTAATAGTTAATACAAAATGCCTGGCAAATTTTAGTCCAGGAAAGCCTTGTTAATTTGCAAGTCTTGGGGCCCTAAAAATTGTCATGGGCCCTGTGACTTAAGCCAGGTGGGACTGGTAGGATCTGCTAGAGGAGGACCCTGAGGTAGAGGGTTGGCAAAGTTCAGGGGGTGATGGAGAAGAGTGTCTCATGGCACGGCTGCCAGCTACCTCTTTATGGGATGGGGAGTTAGCAGGCTTCATCTCTTGGGAACAAAGTTCCAAGTTGAGCAGACTGGCTGATCTCGGTGGAGCTGGTTGAGTTGGAGGCTGAGGGGAAGTGTGAAGGTTGGATTCTGGTCCCATTGCCAAGGATGTGCTCCCACAAAATAATAATAATAATAATAATAATAATAATAATAATAATAATAGAAGAGGAGGAGGAGGAAGAAGAAGAAGAAATATAAGAGAGGGGCAAAATTTTGAGAAAAAGTAAAGTCATACCTTGGTTTTCGATCAGAATGTGTTCCGGAAGTCCGTTCAACTTCTGAAATGTTCAGAAACCAAGGTGCGGTTTATGATTGGCTGCAGGAGCATCCTGCAATATACTCCCAAATATGTTATTTCTATTTCAGACAGTACCTGTAGTTAAAGATGTGTGTACACAAAGAAATACAGTATTCACTTACAGTCCAACATGAAGTCCTTGTCAGAGTGCTCTACTCCCACCCAGCACATGCAGACAGAGGCGCTTGCTTGGAAATATGAAAGAGATACTTATTCAGGCAGCCTCAGCAGCAGACCCAGTGCTCAGAAGTTAGGGAGCAGGGCAAGAGGTTTGTAACTGCGTAGAAGTGATGAAGATGCCCCAACAGGTTTTCCCGCCCTTCCCACCAAGCTTTCAAAGATGAGGCAGGATGTGCTTGTTCACAAGACTCATTTGTCTTGTGGGAATAGTGTGAACGCTAGTGCACACTCTGAACCTTCTGTTCAGCCTCCCCTCTTAGCCGATCAAAGCCCTCTCCAGCCTCCACTGAGGCTTCCAGTTCCATCGGAAGGTCAGAGGGGAGAGCTGGCATCCTTTCTCCCTCTTCCAAAGTGACTGACTTTGCAGTACAGATAGGATACTCCCCCCTCCCTCCAACCCAGGATTCCCCCAGTTCATCCCCCTTATTTCTCTCACTACCAGAGCCTGCCAGCTGAATCTCAACAGCACTGTGGAGGTCATGGCAAAGAGTCAGCATTGACCCTTCTGGTTTCATCTCCCCGTAGGGGTGCTCCTCTGCTCAGACGGCTGGAGTGAAAGCCTTGACTTGGCCTTGTCGGTTCAACGCCAGGTCAGAGCTCTTCTCCTGCTTGGAGTGCACAGACTCCTCCCATCTCTGCCTCTTCGGGCACCAGTGTTTCCAGTTCGCCACCCATGGAAGTTGGACCTGCTACACTCCAGGCTCTAGCTCCAGCCCACCAGGCCCGGGCGAAGCCTCTGGCTGATGCGAGACAGCAGGAGCACTGGTTGTTTCAAGTGCTTCCACCCTTCAGCCCAGCCCAGCCCCAGCAGAGGGCAGGAAATAGTGGCAGCAATTTGTGCACTACTTAATTGGACAGTCCTGTTGGGCCTTTACCTCCCCGAGCTGCCACTGAACTTAAATTTTATAATTGCTCTCAAATCCTCCCTGCGTTAAATAACTTTTTTTAAAAAAGACCTAATGTGAGATGAATATTTTAACAGTGCTAATAATGAAGAAGAGAAAACAACCACCCTGGCCTAAAAACCACAAATGAGAAAGTGATGTAGTTATAAAGTATGCATGTGCTGTGAGGGCAAGTGATAAGCAGCCTCAGTTTTTCCCCTTGCATTATGGAGGTGGCAAGGCAGGAAGCCCTCTCTGAGCAGAGTTAACACAACGCAGCACACCCTGCCTCTCTTTCCTCAACATAACCCAGTGCTGTTCTTTTATAAACTCTGGTGCTGGACTGACACGTTGCAAAGTGCCCAGGCTTGCACTTAATGCGTTAAGAGAGGTACAATGGGCTTATTATGCGTTTCCAGCAACTGAGGGTGGTCTGTAAAATTAATGATTGTGGCGGCTGCAAATTAAGCGAGCTCCCTAATATGTACTGTTGTTGATCCTCCGAGATTGGTGTGTTTAACATTCCTCAGCGGGAGACTAAATCTTTGTAGCCATTTCACAAGTGATGCTGGCGCCCACCGCAGAAATGTATGCAGCGCTATTTTATGAGACCCTTTTTGGATTCCAGGATTCTTCTGCTCTGGCTGGCAAAGCTCCACGACCAGCCCAGCAGTCTCTGTGAAACGTGCTTGTCCAGCCATACGCGGCAGGTGTATTGTGGTGCCTTTCTAGGGATGCTTTGAACATTATTAGGCTGCCTGGATGTGCTAGCTAACTAGGGCTGGAGCGTCTCTCCCACTTGATCAGACCTTTTTGCCTGAGTGTTCTGGCAAAATTCTTGGTTGGGGGATCCTGGTGTGGTTTTTCAGTGTTTGTTTTGAATGTTTGAGCAACCTAATTCTTCCCTATCGTCACACACCATGCCAGTTCTCCTGTTTCCTCAAGAAAGGAAAGATCTAGATCTGAGAAATTCTAAGCTTCCCCAAAGCTTAGAAATCTAGAACCCCCCAAAGAACTGGGAAATCTAGGACTTCCTGAAGAAATGTGACCAAGATGACTTGTTGGAAAGGATTTGACCTGACGCCAAATACATAAATTGTGGGTTTTTGCGTGTGTGTGTGTGTGTGTATATTTGCTTGCACGCACACAGACATGTTTGCCAAGCGATTGCAATGGAGTTTTTAATTGTATTGCTTTGAATTATAAACTTGCTTGTCTGGAAATGGAGATCAATCTGTCTTCATCTTTGTATTGTTCAGATCCCGTACCAGCTCTGGATCTGGGGCAGCAGCTCCAGCTGAAAGTCCAGCGCATGCACGATATTGAAACAGAGAACCAGAAACTTAGAGAAACGCTTGAGGAGTACAACAAAGAATTTGCAGAAGTGAAAAATCAAGGTAAACTGGGAAGGGTGAGGAATGCTCTTCCTACTTATGTGTGAACATAAATGTTTGGGGGATGGTTTGGATAAGGAAATAATAATGATATTTAGAGACGGAATGCCATCTGTAAAAGCCAGTTCTCCATAACCTTTTGCACTGTAGCATGACCAAGAAACAGAACTCTAAATGGGGCTTTGTAGATGAGCGGGTAAAGTAGATAGCAGCAGGCTTTATTCTCAGCCCCTGTGGTCACCAGGATTTACAGGGGCAGGTTAAGATTCTGGTGTCCCCAGGCCTGCCTTTTTTGTGTTGGATCATCATCTCAGCTAGAATCTTCTTGATAAGCATCAAACATGCGCAGCATCTCGGCCTCAATAAATCTGTTGTTCTCGTTTGTCTTTCAGGATTTAGCTGACCTGTTTTTAACTTCTTGCAGTCGCCATTTTTCAGTGTTTGAATATTAAGGCCCAGCTTAAATGTATTAATTTATATGTGAATCTTTTCCAGCCACTGCCTGTATGCTTCGTACGCATTTAGAGGGAATGCTTAGCACTGTGCCGTTTTCTGTCAGTTTAATATGTGACTCTACGTGGGTATTTGCTGCCTTCACTTTACTTTGTTTATCCCTAGGGTAGAGTGCTGATATTGAAGCAATGTAGGTTAGTTATTTAAGTGGACGGGCCAACTGTTAATGGTGTCCCTTGTAGATAGAAACACTGTAATTACAAGCAGCGAGCACTCACCTCTTCAAATCCTTCAGGTTGTGTGTGTTCCCATTTGGACTTTGCAGGAAACAGCGTCCTGAAATGGGAATGAGAAGTTGTTCTCTCTAAAACTGTTTTCCTTATACACTACACCTGTGGTTAAAATTGTAGAATCATAGAAGGGACCATGAGGGTGCTAGAGTCCAACCCCCTGCAATGCAGGAATCTTTTGCCCAACATGGGACTCGAACCCACGACCCGGAGTCTCATGCTCTACTGACTGAGGTTACTGTGGCAGTACCTAATTCTGGACATTATGGCTTTGAGAGCTATCAGTTGTGAAGGTGGCTGCCATTTTTTATTATTTTTACCTGCATCCTAATATTGAAGAGTGGATAATATGTTTTGTATATTTTGTATATGCTTTTCTATATTGCCGTTTTGCTCACAGGAAAGACTCACTGAAACTTTCTGCAATGTATGTGTTTGTATGTCTGTATAAAACAGGAAATAAGCAGCATTTAGCTGAAAAGATATGCATTGGTCAAACAGTTTTTGTGCACTAATTGCTGCCTGATTGAACTTCCGCTGGTGAGGAAAATGAGCGATGGGGAGGATTATATCCCTTCTGCTGTGGAGTTTCACATAAAGGGGGGCTAGTACCAAAGAGACCCTGCCATTTATTCTGGCAGATGTCTCCATGAAAATAGAGAACGTAGAGAAAGCCTTCATTAGTTGTTCTTAATACTTAGAATGGTAAAGAATTCTTTCTTTCTTTTTTAAGGAGAAGGTGCTCCCTCAGGTTGCTATTGATGTTTACTGTGAGACATAGCACATGCACACAATTGCCCAGCCCAGCCCACAGTTTCCCTGGTCAAAAGAATAAGAATAATAACAACAAAAGTACCCTGAAATATAATGCAGGTACAAGTGTTGTTGGTTTACAATACCTATGTTAGTCCCCAGCTTTGGAGTCAAGCACACTAGCAGGAAAGAGGAAGCAACTGAGTTATACCAGCTCACTGCTTGCTTCGGGGTGGCAGAAGAAATACGCTCGGCATTGTATCCAGCTAAGTTGTATGCAGAGTACAACTCCCTGAAATTAATAGACCCAATTTATTCACTCCCATTGTTTTCTACTCAGAGTTGGATCAGCCTTAGATGCAATCCTCTGGATATAGACTACATGGTCACCCCTTGTATCTCCTCCAAAACAAAGAAGCATAAGTGTTGGCGCACTGAATCTTGGCACAATCCAGGAGGGGCCAGGAGAAGCTTTGGTCCCCCTGGTGGTAGTCCATAGCATCCTAGGGAATCCCACATCACGTTTTGCTGCTACTTCTTGTGCTCCTTGCTGCCACTGCACAGTTCACACATATCTGCAGCCTGGCTTCCCCCTGTTCCCTGCGCCTCTCACCCACTTCAGCCCTCTTGTATCAGCAGATACATCTTACCCTTGGGCAGGGCAACATTCAGGGCTGCTAAGAAAAACTTGCCAGCTTCTAATTCTGTGTATTTTAAGCACTCTAGGGAGGAGGCTCTGTTTGAGTGGCCTTGGGCACATCTGGCCGTGAGCTGGTCAGGGACTCTCGTCCAATAGTTAAGCGCATTCTTTGCATGGGGAAGGTTTCGTGTTTTTGTCCCCAGAATCTCCAGCTAGGGTTGTTGGGGGGGGGGATTCCTCTCTGAAATCCTAGAGGTCCCTGTGGACAGGCCGTGGTGTGACTGTGTTTCAGACAATTTCCTGATCCTCATCTCTGATCACCCTAGAGCTTAATGTAGGGCGATGAGGTGTCTTGCTGGCGATTCCGCCCTGCAGTCAGGTTAGAGAAACCTTCACTCCGCTTCCCGGCAGCGTCCATTGATCCTGCTTAACCTTAAACATTTAAAGTTCAATTTACCATTTAGGGAGTAAAAGGTATCCAAAGGGACTTGTGGCCATTGATTTTGTGTCAGGGCTGGAGAGCGAAAATTTAAGCCCTGCTGCTGCTGCTTCTGCACCACCTCCAAGATAGCCGCACTCTGCCACTGCGTGGTATCATTATTTACCTTGGCTCATTTTCTCCCCTCGCTTTCTTTCTTTCTCCTCTCCCCACTCGAAACAGAGGTGACAATAAAAGCACTTAAAGAGAAAATCCGGGAATATGAGCAGACCCTGAAGAACCAAGCGGAGAACATTGCTCTTGAGAAGGAACAAAAGTTGCAGAATGACTTTGCTGAGAAAGAAAGGTAAGTTAACGTGTGCAGGTGGGGCATTTCTGTATTCCCCTTTTGAAAGAAGAGCATATTGGGAAAGAAGAGCACTAAGCGCTGGGCAGGATGGTGGTGAATGCAGTGGTAGTGCTTGTTTTAATATTGCATTTATCATCAATGACCATCCTTCATGTAAAAGGTAAAGCAACACAGCTAAATCTACAAATACAAATAAAACACAGCAGTTAAGAAGACCATTGAGATCATGGGCAGCATAAAAACAGCCAGTAAAAATTTAAAAATCCATTTTAAAAGCCCGGGAAAATAGAAGGACTGCTCTGATCATGTATGTGAAGTGCTTGAAAGTTCTTAAATGTGCTCCAGAAATGTGAAGCATGCATATTATCTATATTAATAAGGCTGTCTAGTGATAAGGGGTTTTGATACCGACCCTGTACTGCTCACCCTTTGGTCCAAAGGTAGCACACTAGAGAGCATGCACATGAAAACAACTGTCCATGGTTGGGGAAGTGTTATTTTTTGGAAAGGAGTCATTTTTTTCATCTTTTGGGGCACAAACTTGTTCTGTGTTAGAGATCAGTCAGGTGCATGTATTTAAAGCGGGGGTGGGGAACCTATGTCCCACAGTCCAATCTTGATCATTAAATGATTCATTGATTGCATTTATAATTGCTGATTTGCTCATAAGCTCCCAAATAAGTCTCTTCTGAAAAAGAAAGGGACCACCAAATGCCAAATGTGCAAGAATTTTTAAACTGCCTGGCACTTTTCCCACATTGACTTGTCTGCATTGGGGCTATGATGTCCATCACTGAACATCAGATTGCTCCATTGATGAGTGGGGAGGGTTGATAATCCAACCTGCACAGATCAGCTGAATGGCTCGCAGGGGGGAGGATCTCACTTTTGGTCTCACCCATTGCTGGTATGCAGTTCCCAGAGAGCTGGCCAACGAGCCCTCAAACCAAAAAAGGTTAGCTATCCTTGTTTTATGAAATGCACTCAGAGGAGCTTGCTTCTGTTGAAATTAGACAGTGGAAGAACTCCTCGGATCCAACCCCGTGTAAGATGCATTTTTATGTTTCTATTTTATGTTACATGGAGATGAATATATTTTAAGTTGCCTTTTGTTTCCTTGGCTTTCTCCTTACAGAATGTTGCAAGAGACGCAGGTTTCGACAGCCTCAAAGCTGGAGGAGGCTGAACACAAAGTGCAAGCGTTGCAAACAGGTTTGCTATTTGACTGATTCAAACGGAGAAGGGGGAGGTACTTTGGGTTCATCAAAACATTGGCCACCTCCTCTCTTTGTACCGGAGCAGATGCAAGGCTACCAGTTTCTGAACCATAGTTAGGAGACAGCAAGCCTGCCATACATGACCTCACTCCCACTCACCTCCACTATCTACATGGATTTCCGATGAGGATGAACTTTGGTTCACCATAGCATCCACACTGGTACTATGGGAATGACTTAGAACACAAGATGAGCCCAAAGGGGGGCACATCTATCCCAGCATCCATTCCTCACAGTGGCCAATGATTTCCTCATGGGAAGCCATGCTCAGGCAGGATTTTCCCCTCCTACCAGACCAACTCTTCCTGTGGCCAGTTAAAGGTTGGGTCCTCAGCCCTCGACAAGCACCCTGGGATCTTTGTGGCCACCAATGGCCTTTGTTGAGGAGGGCCCTCTTATACCCCCAGACCTGGGACCAGATCAGTCTGTTGCCTATGACTCGGCTGCACCTTGATTTCTGTGCCTGATGTTCTCAGAAAGACTTGGAGATGGAGGTTACTTTCCTTCCTTTGGCCCCACACTGAAGTTCAGTCACTTGAAGTTGTCCCTCCCTCCCTTTCCTCTGTCTCTCCTTCCCTCCCTGCCAGTAGCTTGTTCTTGACTTACCTGCTCTTGCTTCCCTGCCTGAGCTTCAGCCTGCCTGGCTTCTTTCCCATCTGAAGCCAGAGCAGGTCCCCATTTTAACTGGCACAAATGGTTTGTGTCACAGAAGCAGATCTATAAACGGAATATAATGTGCTTAGCTAGATTCAGCGGGACAGAATCTGGAAACTTTCACTGTTCCTGAAAGAGAGAGAGTGTGTATGTGTGTGTGTGTTTTCTAAAGGAAAGAATTTTGAAAAGCTTTTAAGCCTTGTTTTTCTGCAATGTGATTTTGTTTGGTCAGGGAGAAAGCTTAATGCAAGATGACTTTTCAGACAGAGAACAGTTTATAGTTCAATAGTAATTGAGTAGCCCTTTTTTATCATTACGTCGCTCTTAACATGTCAGTAATGCCTTGGCATGTTGCTTTCCCCCCTCTATCCCCTTCAGCCTTGGAAAAGACACGGACGGAGTTATTTGACCTGAAGACAAAATATGATGAGGAAACAACGGCAAAGTAAGACTTCTTGGCTCCTCTTTAGATATACGCCATGTGTTTTTAGTGCTCTGCCATCTTCATCTCATTGGGTAAAGAAAAATTGAAATTTTTAAAAACTGGGCCTTATTCCTAGACCCATGTACATGATGACTTTATCTACATATTTTTTTCTGATATAAATGGATGTGCCTCCGCAGGGTGCAGCGGAAACACAATAATTCTATGGTTCTATACGCTTGGATTAGCATGTTGTTGTTTAGTCGTTTAGTCGTGTCCGACTCTTCGTGATCCCATGGACCAGAGCATGCCAGGCACCTCTGTCCTCCACTACCTCCCGCAGTTTGGTCAAACTCATGCTGGTAACCTTGAAACCTGGATTAGCATAGGAACAATAAAATGGGGGGGGGGGAGGCGCCGATGCCCATGTAGTGGTCTTAACATTTCAAGAGCACCATGGTTGCTGTTCCCTATGGCCCCAAATCCACACAGGCATGAAAGTAGCCAAGAGGATCTTGATGCCAGCATATGAAGTTGCTTTAAAGCGAGTCTGGTGCTTTGAAGCTGAGTGGCTGCCACTGCCCAAGATTTAACCCATCTTCTTGATGGAACTAATGTCACACACCCACCCCCTACTTTCCAACAAGATAGGTTTTTCTAAAATGAAAACCTTGTGGTGGTGGTTATTTCACCATCCGGCACCATTGATTTATGGGACCAGCAACACTAGATGCCCATTGCTAACACAGCAAACAACTAACGGCATTCCTACAGATAACCTCAGTGGGAAAAGGGCTCAGGTTGCTCCCAAGGAGTTGGATTTGTGTACACCATTTGTCCAGTGAGGAAGTATGCCCCCAAAGATTCTTTATTGCCTATCTCTGGGGCAGTGAAGGTGTTAATGACTAGAACAAAAATGGCTTTGCAGTACGTCAACTGGGATACTAGAATCTGAAATCGACAAGATGCCATCAGTAAAGTTTTCCATGTGTAGGCTTGAAATAAAATGCAATTAGGCCTTTATGTGCAGAACAAGGATCCATTGATGACTACAGCTGGTCTTTGTTTTCATCTGTCACTGAGTGTGGGAGGTAGAAAGTGCTCCTCTTCATGTTTATTAATGCAGGATTCCTGAGACAAATGGCAAGCACAGTTTAATGTTTGTTGGGACACGGTGGGGCTTGCCAAAACAGTTGTGTAAGAGGATTTCAAGGTTTTCAGATTGCGGCTCTTCCTAGGTTAAATAAATGGATGGCAGGCCTGCCTGTTTCTCTTCAAGAGGCAAGCCAAGCAGGAGAGGCCTGAGAGAAGCAGCAGCAGCAGCAATAAATGGGGAGCACTTGGAGGAACTGGGCAAGAGGAGACAAGACTTGGCAGTGAATGAAGGGTGAAGGAGGAGACAGGACAAGGAGAGACATGGTTGTTCTGCCAGGATGGTTGAAGGGAGGAACCCCAGCTCAGTGAGAGAGCCCCTGCTTTTGCATGTAGAAGATCCCAGGCCCTACCCCAAGCACCTCTAGTTTTATAAAGGGTCAGTGGGAAAAGACCTGTTAACTCTGTCCAGGACCCTGGAAAGATGCAATCAGAGTAGACAGTATTGGAGTAGATAGGCAAATAGCCTGGCCTGATAGACAGCATCTCCCTTTGTTCCTTTGAGGACTGGTTCAGACCTGCATGTTGGGGACATGGCCCTGTATGTGCAAGGTCCAGGGCTTGAGAAGATGGCCATTCAGCCCTGCATTCTATATGAGCCATATTGCAGTTTTCTGGCAGCAATGGGGCAGACACATTTCTGAAATCAGAATTTGTGGTTAACCACCAGGATGAATGTTTTACCCAGCCTCATTGGAAGAATGAGACGCAATGGGTCTAGGTTGTATTGAAGCATGTTAGGTGCGATTTTGGGAAACTTCCTGTGCATTAGAAATGGTGGATCAAGTTTCTTGGGGACTCTGACACACTGTTCATGCAGTTTTTTAAAAGTTGCTTGGGTAGCACTGTCGCCTATATGTGCATTATTTTAAATTTCCGGTGGGATTTATGCAATAGCCACTTTACCTTACGAATTTGCACATGTCTCTTAAAACGTAGGTGCTGTGGGACTGGGACTTAAAGAAAGTAGATAGACTGGGGTGGGGAAATTCTTCTAGCCTCTGGGTAAGATCAGAATATTATCATTTGAATGTGAACCAAATTTTATAAATGGACAAAGTTGCATATCTGTCAGTCAACTGACATCACACTTTGAAGTCCCAATTGTTGGGACTTCAAAGTCAGTTCAATGTTTAAACGCCCTTTTGCTGCTTGTGTAGAAGAGGGTGCTGAGAGTCCCCCCTCCCCCCCGGACTGGTGAGTCATCCAAATCCAGCCCTGGAACCCTGATCATGACATTCCTTGTCCTTACAGTTGATATTGTAGGTGAATGTTTAGCTGCACCAGCTCAGGTTAGGCATCACAGCCATAGCATCATTTGACCATTGTTTGTGGACTTCAGGCTTGTGCAGTCCAGAATGGGAAACTGCAGTTTAAACTAGGTTTCCCAGACTGATCTGGAGGCAAGCTAGTTTGCACTAGACATGGCTTCCCCAATCTGCACATCTTGGCAAACTCTAGTTGTTGCAGACTTGAAAACAAGAAATGGAATTGGAGTGCATGAAGGGAAGAAGGAGCTTGGAAGCCCATCTGTGATAAGAAACCATTGTTTGGTGATGAGTCTGAAATGGGCACTGTGATTAAAATTAGGTAGGACAACAAAGGGACAGATACTTTGGCTCTGTGGGAAAAAGCCGGGTTCTCTACCATTGTTTTTGCTGCTTTTGTCTCACAGTCTTCACCAACAGCATGGCTATTGGCCAGGGATGATGCAGTCCAAAACATCTGGAGAGTACCAGGTTGGGGAAGGATGCTATACTGTAGTGGCTCTGTCTATAGCTGTGTTGTTAATGATGTGATCACTCACCTCAGTGTTGTAAAGTTGACTGAGAGCCAGTGTTGGACTAGGACTTGGGAGACCAGGGTTCAAATCCCCACTAAGCCATGAAGCTCCTTGGGTGACTCATGGGCCAGTCACTGCCTCTCAGCCTGACCCACCTCCCAGTATTGCTATGAGGATAAAACGGGGTGTGTGGGAACCATGTATATCACCTTGAGCTCATTGGAGGAAAGGTGGGATATAAATCTAATTAATTTTGTCATTCTTATAGTCCACCTTTCTAACTGAATGGCCTGACAAGGTGGCTTTTTTGAAAAGCAGCATTGCACCTAAAATTTCATCAATAGTTTAAAAACCAATTTAGGTCCTTAAAAACCTAATATATAAGCATAACTAGGAGTAAAGTGCTCTGGGATAAAATGCAAGTCTGCAGAAGGAAATGCCCACTGTGACGCTCTGCCTGTTTCTAACAGGCTGCCTTGCCCCCTGTGAATGTGATCCAAGCAGCATATGGCACCTAATGGGGCCTGGGTTTCTCCTAATAGAGCGGAGGCTCAAACCTCTAGCCAGAAGCTGATTAGCTTTAAGCACCTTCAGTCACATAGTGTAACCTCTGTCTCTTTCTTCCCCTCACCTTACCAGTGCAGCCTTCAGTCCTTAATAAGGTGGCAATTCAAATTTATGATCAGCACAGCTGTGATGTCCTGGAAATGTACTTGCTGGCAGGGGAGCAGATGCCTTCTCTGGAATGAGGGAGAATAACAGGAGACTCTATGGGTGCTTTTCTTCCCTCTGCACCCCTCTCTCCCCAGGCAAAAATATTAAAAGTTGGGTTTTAGTAGAGGTGTCTTTCTAAGCTATGGGATGTACGGCTTAGTTGGGTTGGGGATTTCTTTTGTTTTCCCTGATGATGTTTTTGATTTCTTGGGAAGGGGTATGTTAGTGCTTTCTCCTTAAATATTCATACCGTTTCCCCCCTGGGATTTGTTTTTCGTAATTAGTGAAATTGGGAGGGGCCTGGCATCGTTGGAGTGCATGTGAGAAGCTTGGGTGGAGTTTAGGAATGTAACTGGCCTCCCATGTTATCCCTCCTGCTCCCTAAAATCTGAGGGGAAGGCTCTTTTCTGTGTCCCGATGTAGCTGGGTTCCAAGTTGGTCTGGAGGCACGAGAGGGCCCTTTTCTGTCACCTCTCCCCAGTTGCAGAGCTTGATCCCATGGGAGGTTTATTTGGCCCTCTGCTTTTAGCTTTTTAGTATTTTGATTGTTGTTGGCCGCTTGAGTGTTTGGTAAGTGGAAAGGCAGCAAATAAATAAACATTCTTGAGACAGGTTTGATCTTTAAATTCCTGTGTCAGGTTTGGGTGCTAACTAGAGACTTCTATGCCCCAGTGTAGGGTTTTGTGGCCCCTAAAGGATGCCTTGCAAACAAACCCTCCCTACTTTGACTATCTTCCCAGCTGATTGGCAGTTGTGGCATGGAGGGCTCTATCTGGATGTCTGGAGCCACACAGCATGGTGGGTTTCAGGGAGACTTCCCCAGAATTCAGCCAGAGAGGGAATTTCAGATTGCGGCCCTGTTTGAGAGAAGGCTTCACGTTTCTCTTTTTTATCTGGCAGATTGTACTCAAATTGTCTCCTCTGTAACATTTCTAATCCCCACCCCACTGTGCATAATCAGGTGTGCCTTCCCTTGATATGAATATCTGAAATACTGTGGTAATGTTTCTATATTTAAGATCTTCAGAATCTTAAAACTCAGATTTTTAAGGACCAGTGTTGGATAGTGCATGATTTTTTGTGCTGCCGTCGTGTTTTACTTTGAGGCCCATAATACTAAAACAAGTTTTTCCTAAAGCGTAAATGCTGCATTAGCTACACCTGAGCTCCCAGGTCCACAATGTTTTATGTGTCATGTTATACGTATTAACTGTACCCCCACCCAGCCTTGTGATCAGTTCTTCTCTCTTCCCAAATAGGCCTACTATTGCTTTGTTGCTCCCATAGAAATGTAGACAAGTTGATCTGTGGCTCCGATAGCAAGCAAACATTTCACCAACAGCAGTATCATCTTACCTGCTTTGTTTCTCTC